TGACTTCTGATAATCCTATGTCAAGGCACACAGTAAATGCTTGTAGGAAAGTGGCATGGAACAATTACATTTGCTCTCTGGGATTATGTGCAATATGCTCTTAGAGTATGGGCTTTAAAATAGGAAATCTTTAATGTTGAACAGCTCTTGTAAAAACAGTTTATGGTTCTGAAATTAGATTTTCTAAAAAAATAACCACATAAAACCTTATTTCAATATCATTCTTCCCCTAAAAAGGGAGGGAGAAAAGGCACTTTCTCCCCCTTCTCTATTTTGAATCAAATGATAAGTCACAAAATAACTTCATTAGCAGCAGTACATGTGAGACATGGACTATAGGCTCAATTTCCATAACTTCCAGATAGCATTAGCTGTATGGACAGGGGTAACATCACAGTCTTCAGTGGAGCTGGAGCAGAAAACAAGGCAAATGATTTTCTCCTTTTATTCCAACCCCAAGGTCCAGTGATCGTCCTCTAAACTCCATGAAATAATTTATTTTTAAAATACATAATTTTTTAGTCACTTCCTATGTTACCTGCAGAAAAAAAGTGATGTAAATAAAATACTTTCTAATTTATTCTTTTTCCAGTTTAAAGATTAATTTTGTGGGATGGCTTGATGCTGTGTTGTGTCCTGGCAGCAGTGCAAGGCAGTTGTCAGGCTGGCACAGCCACCTGTGTAATTCATGGGCAAGTGCATGGCCATGCAAAAAGGTTAAGAAGTTCCACGTGACTTTTGAATTCCCATGAGCTTTTTGTATTAAACATACACGAACGTACATATTAAATGTACGTAAGCTTTTTGTATTAAACAGTTCAGCCTTAAATGCTGCACAGAGCATGCAGTGAGATGGAAAAGACTCCTTGGGACACAGTGTGGACCCAATGGGACCTTTTAAAGTCTCCTTATTTAGATGAAAAATATTTTGAGATCTCGGTGATCTGATATTGCTGTAAATTTACCAACAGCTGCTGTAATCTGTCATTCTGATGACATATAATCAATTTTCGCTCTAAAACAGAAGAGCAGAATTACTGAGGTGTAAATGCCCATTATTTGTAAACAGCTCAGTGCCATCACAAACATGTTCTCTTGCTTATTTAACACACTTTTGCATCTCAATGACTGCTGATCCCTCCAGGTTTGCTCATCCTACTCTCTTCTGGCCAGTGATTTTTAGTGTTTCCTAGATAGTCTCAGCTAGCATTTCTGTTGTGATGGACATTGCCTGTAATCTTCCTGTGGAACATGGTTGTGTCTTTGATATAGTCTAATAACATTTAATTAAAGCCTGATGGGCATTCTCTTGCTGAACTTATCACCCTTTCCAACAAACGACCATTTTCCCTGTCGTCTTTCTCCGTACTGGTGATTTGTGACTCTCAAAAGAATCAGAGTGTGTTTCATGTGGATGCTGATCCTATCTGCACGTGCATCCTGGTAGAGGATTAGATTTTGACAGGAACATTTGAAATTCTAAACATTCCTGTTTTCTCAAGTCCCAGCCTCTACTAGTTTGTGGTCCAGGGACTCTGAGCCAGAGGCAGCAGTTTGATACCTACAAGTCCTGTGTGGATTTTTGTTGCATGACTCTCCTCATTCATATCTCCTCTGGTCCTGAGGTAAGGAGATCCACCTGGTGTGACATGGACACGTATTTCCTTTGGGTTCTCCTAAACTCCAGTTTTATTGGGTAGCTACAACTCCTTCTTGCATTGGAAGAGACTGTGAGCAGTTGTTCCCTCATATTCTCCATAGTACTTGTCGTTTCTCAAATGTGATTAGAGATAACTGTAGATGTGGATTTTTTAGTTTGAATATTGTTGAATTTACCTCATTTCCGTAAGTTTATTAGAGACCTGTTCTCTAAAATTTGTAATATGTGCAAACTGAGTACTACCTATACTTCAAAGGAGAGTAACTGTTTGTCTCAAAGTAGGAAACATGGCTTTTGTTGTGTAATGTTTCAGAAACAAGCACCCACTGGTTTTGTACAAATCTGTAAGAAAACTTAATGAGCTAAGTAAAATACTGCCACATGATTCATGAGTCACAGGTGTGCGTTCCTCTTTACTTACGTTAATGTTACTAGATGAATTTCTGACTTAATATTAACCTGTATAATGATTGTACTCTTTAGCTAAACTTCAGATAAAATGGAAAAATCTCTTTTGGATTACCATTTTGGTCTCTTGAGTTGCTGACATGTATGAATTATTTTCTATTAAGTAAACAGTCCTCTGAAAGGTGAACTATGTAGCGTATTCTCACTTCAGAATTCGCATTCTGTTCCCTAGTTATAACACTCAGGGGTGATGTTTATGCTTTCTGATTTCCTAAGTGGTTTTTAGGTAACTTCACTATTCCAATTACCATCTCTTTGTCATGTATTCAAATTCAGATGAGAAAAAAGCAGTCAGGGAAGAGACAAGTGGTGACTGGAAGCTGACTAACTACCAGAGCTGGTTCCAGAATCTCTTTTCTTTATTTTGTTTATTTTTTCATTGCTTATTCAGTAAAGAAGACCTAGGCAAAATAAAAGTGTTATCTTTTTTATGGGTATTCATTTATCTTATGGGCCTTTGTGTCTCATCTCCTTAATATATTTTACTTATGGTTCTTTTCTCATTTTTTTTGCAGGTTTCTGCTGTATTTTTAACTTTGCATTCACTTTCTTATAAAAATTTTCACTGTCTTGCCAGCAAAACACTAGGCAAAAAAAAGACTTTGCGGCTTTTCAAAATGGTACAATCTTGGCAACCCAAAGTGTGTGCCAAGTGAGCTGAACAATATTTTGCTCTTAAAAAACTGGGGAAAAAAGGACTATTCCTCTAAATTTATTTCAATATTTCCATTTTCTTAAGCGTGGACATTCCTTACAATTGGATAATGGCAGCTTTCTCACTGTTGGGCTTTTTTTTTAAAGTGAAACATGTCTTATTTTATATGTTCTTCCTTCATAAAAAAACCACTTCACTCTTTGGTGTTTCCGAATCCCTGATTTCAGAAGTGATGTTTGGGAATGGCGAAGCACAGAGGTGACACAGGGAAACAGGGAACTTCTTGGAGTCTTCTAGAAAAAGCAGCCCTTTAAGTGTCACTTAAATAATCCATCCTCAGCAGCTGTGCGTGCAGAGCCTGTCATCCCATATGGATGCTCCTCGGAATAAAGAAGTGTGTGTTTATTGAGGTGGTTTAGCACTGGGTTTGGGACCTTCTCAGTGAGCTGTTAACTGAGCATGGTGTTTCTGTAGCATCTTGTAATTGATAGCACAGTTTATAGATTACATTATGCCAATTATAGGGACTGATATTTTTTTCTTTGATCAAATAAAGCGAGCTGTGTGTAATTTAAAAGCTGCAGGAAATTCCATTCCTGTACTAAATGATTAAAACTTGGTGCAGGCTGATCTTTAATCATTCATTTTTAGATAATCCTTGCCTTCAACTACCCAACCAATGGAAAATGATGGCATAAAAGAGAGTTACGATTATTGTGTACTAAAATGATTTTAAATTCTGGGATTTCAAAGCTGGCAGTTGCAGAAGCATCAGCGTGGAGCTGTTCTGCACTTTGGGCTTTGGTGCCTGTGCATGGAGAGCTGTGGAGAATCCAGCTGTGCTGGAGCTTGTGCTTCCTGTTCCTCAGTGGATGCCTCTTGGGTTTGGGGAAGGGCACAGTACTCTGTGGGATGGCTGTGGGTGTCAGGTCTTATGTCTAATAAGAAAGTTATCTGCATTTTTACATTTGAGCTTCTTCTGCTTGGGTCTGTCTGTTCACTTAGGCTTCAAAATTTCTCTTTAAGAAGCCAGCTTAATATGTAATAGCATAGCTCTGCTGTGTATTTGTTCCAAAGTCTTACTGTAGATTCAAAAAAAAACCCCAATTAACATTGGAACCTATGAGATTCCTTGCCAAGACCTCATCTTTGTAACAATTATTCAGCTAGTGTTCAATCCACATTAAAATCAGGCCCAATTTGCATAAAATGTCTAAGCAGTGCACAGCATCTTGCTGCCTGTTAAATCTGCTTTGATCTCCTCACCAACTATTTTTTGTAATAAGTGATGAGTTGAGATGAGTTTACCTTCATCCAAATCTTACCCTTTCTGCTTCTTCTTATTCTTTCTTATTCTTTGTACCTTTATAGCACTTTCTTCCTTAATTTTCCCATTTGTCCTTCATTTTCTTTGGAAAAAAAATCTCCAGACTTGTCTTCCCCCACCATCTGAATGCTCAAAATACAATTCTTTCAGCATATTAAGACTTTCAGTAAAAATTTCTGATTGTGGAGTACATTTCCACTTGCTTAAAAAGAAGCATCGAATAACAAAGTCAGCAAATGCAATATGGGGAGTAAAGAAGTTATGGGACATTGTAAATTGATTTATGTCCTGATTCTGCAGTAATTTACATGTGTTCTGTCTAATTTTGGAAGGGCAATTTTTTGCAAAAACCTGAAGTCAAGTAGATTTTCAAATCTACTTGACTGAAAAGTTACTGGGAACAAGTTTATCTCTGTTAGTGTTTATGAAAAAAAATGGCACAAGGCAAAGCAGCTTTGCCAAGTAAACAATATTACCTTTCTCGTGGAGCATCTGTGTGCTCCTCATTTGCTCAGGACAGTTCCATCTCCGGTAAAATAGCTGAAATGGTTTTGAAGTCATATTTGAGGATTACCCTTTGCCATGAGCTATTTCTCACAATGAAATCCAGTAACTTCAGATCCTGAAATAAGGTCAGAAGTTGAGGTAATTAAGTTAAAATACACAATTAGTTGTGAAACTAGCCTATTTCCTGTTCTTTTGATAATAGTGTTTTCTGTGACTGAGATGCTTTCACTTCACTTCAGGATGTTTTTACTGCAAGTATAGAAAATTATATGCAATAGAGACATATTAGCAGTGATGCTGTAAGTTGGAAATTTTAATAATTTTCAGATTTACTTTTAAATCTCTGATTTGTATTTAATTAGTGTTTCTTGTCTTTTACTCAGGCCACATGTAGCTTTAAAAGCATAAGCTCTACAAGGGAGACAGTGGCAGGAAAAAGCCCTACTGTTTTTTTAAAGCAAGCAAGGACACCCATTCAACTGAAAATCAATGTATGTTTTTCTTACTACAGAATCTGTGTGTAATTGATGTATATGCTGTAAAGTGGTAGCAATTGGAGTTAATGTGCTTTAGAATTTGCTGCTAAAGTTCCATGCAGAAAACACCTTTAATTTAGCAACAGAAAAACTAAGTTTTGCTGCATGAGAAAGAGAATTAAGTAGCTATAATAGCAAAAAAAAAAAGCAGTACTGAGAAAACAAACACATTGTCAAATCTAAAAATTTAATTTACAGGAGTAACTTCCCAAATTTAAGTCTATATTTAAGTCTCTAGAATATCTTACACAAAGGCACTAATACCAGACTTTGTCTCCACATCTCTGCGAGCTCCCCTTTCTGTGGTGGTTACTGTTAAGTCACAGTTTCTGATGCTCTGAGTTCACTGCTGGGGAAACACTCATGTAGCCACCTGGGAAACAGCTGACAGACTGCTTTGGTGTTGGTTTAAGCAGAATGTTAGAGCCTCTGAATAAGCTTGTAGAAAGAGTATTTTCTTTTTTTCCTTGCTACCTTCACATTTCTCTTGCTTACTTGTTGGTTTTTTTCCCAAAGAATAATTACATGGTACTAGTGCTTGCAAAACCAGGTCAGACTGGGGGCTGAATTCTGCTTACACGTAAAAACATGTAAGAAAAAAATCATTCTGTGGAATGCTCATGATTTTCAGAATTGCTACTGGGAAATATTTCTTCTGCTTAGTACCATCCTCCAAAATAAGAAATACAACTTCAGCAACATGTCATAGAGCAAACAAAATCAGGTCCAGAGCTATTGGTCACATCTGTTGTAATAATGACAGACATCCTTGAAGCTTCTTGGGCAAAGTGGATTCCCCAGTGGGAGGTCTGACAGTTCTGTACCAAAGGGGAGTGTGTATACAACATTCCTGATTAGGCCATGGCATTTTCAGCTGTAACTTGGACTGGAGCAGTACCTGTTTGGTTAAGTTTTTAATCATCTTCAAAGCCCCATTATTTTTCTCCTAAGATGTTTCTGGCTTAGTAGTTATTGCTGAGGAAAACAAAAAAGGGACCTGTGGTATATGCAAAAGATTTGTCATAGCAAATGAATCAGAATTTGGAAAAACTATTTTAATTGAGGGTTTTTTGTTTGGTTAAAGAGCAAACTGAGGTAAGAAAATGTGAGAAGCAGATGTGATTTCTTTGGGAATGGTGATTGCTCAGAGCCAGCTGGTCTCTAGGAGTCTATTCTGAGATGTCAGTGGTGAAAAGATCTGCTATTAAACAGTGATCCCAAGACTGAAAATATATTGATGCAAGACGAGTAGTGATAGAACAGCAGGATTAAAAGGTGACATCAAGGGTTCCTTGACTTAGAGTTGGGATCCATAGTATCATCTGGCTTCAGCATGAAATAATGTACCATCATTCTCTTATATGTGGTTTGTGTTCTGTGCATCTCCCAGAGGGTTTGCTTGACTGTCAGTTTAGCTAATGTTGGTTTAGTGTTACTGTGTTTCTTCTGCAGTTTCTGACATTTTTCAAAAACAGAATTCCAAGTCCTATGTCTCCTCTGATCAGAGACCGATTTCTGTTTCACTGATGTAAATTAGGATTTCCTGCAGCTACTCAACTGTTGTTTTTTGTTTATTTGGTTTTTTTTGTTCAACCAAACACTGTTTCTCGTGAAGTGCTTAAAACCCTGATTGATCTTGGTGTTGGGTCTTTAACAATGTTTTTTGACATGTCATTGAAGTTTTGCTACATAAGCTGTCCTGATCTATGCAGAAGATAAATGTTTGAAAGTTACTTACTGCTAATTGTAAAGAAGAGAAAGTAAAAGTAATAGCAATGAGTTCTTTTACCTGCTCAGTACTTCTTGAATTTTACAAATGTTATTTTACATTCTGAATCTTGGATAGATATGGGATACAACTGATGCATTGATTTTATATTACCTGCCTGTTGAACTGTGCTTTGTTGTCATAGCAATTATCTCCTATTAAAAATATTCCTTTGGGGATGGCTGTCTTGCTTGGAGCTAACCCAAAGCATGTACTTACCGCTGAACACAGTGATGATGATAGGTTTTTTGTTTGTTTGGGCAGACAGGAGAGGCTATTTTCTTGATTTTGGAAGTCTCCTTGTGTTTTGCTAGCTGTTTCAGGACTTCAAACTAGTGCTATACAAGTCCACAGTAAAGAAAGTGATATTTAAACCTTGCAGGTGAAGGTAGAAGTGGTTGCCAACACCTTATTTTATTCCTCATGTATCAGGAATCACATTGAGTTGGACACATTTACTGTCAGCTGAGATTGTCTCCTGAGGAGAGGATTCATACTGGCTGCATGGGTGAGCTAAATGCAAAGGGAAATGATTTTATGTAAAAATAAGGCTGTAATTTTCAGACAATAGAGTTCCTCTCACTCTACATGATAAGAATCTAAGCATGGATATCATGCTGTCTTGAAGGAATTGATGATTGTAGACCTAAGAAACTACATGAAAGAGATGGGAAAGAGAAATAAAAGAAAACAGAAATAAATTAAAGCATAGCCACAACAAAGGAAAGTGAAATATCCATCATGTTCAAGTTCTACGAATATTTTTAAGAAAAAAGAAATACTGCTATTCAAGAAAATGTGGCAAGTAAAAGCAGGGACAAAAGTTGGACTATGATATCATTTGTGTCAATCTGTTGGATAGGGCTTTCAGGTTCATCCTCCAAAAGTGGCATATATAAATTTTTTCTGTCTAGATGAAGAGATTACATATCACAGGTTTGTGTGTGGGGATATTTCCAAGAGGAAGATAATCCCAAGGGTTAATGGCCTTAAACTGAAGGAGAGTAGGTTTAGATTAGAGATTACAAAGGGATTCTTCCCTGTGAGGGTGGGGAGGCCCTGGCACAGGTTGCCCAGAGAAGCTGTGGCTGCCCCTGGATCCCTGGAGTGTCCAAGGCCAGGTTGGATGGGGCTTGGAGCAACCTGGGTTAGTGGAAGGTGTCCCTGCCCATGGCAGGGGGTGGAATGAGATGATCTTTAAGGTCCCTTCCAACCCAAACCATTCTGGGATTCTGATAATATAGAAAATGTGGCTGCCAGAAGTGATCTTTTAACTGAGATCTGTATACCTGTGCATTACCAAATGTGATTTCAGGTGGTGTAACATCATTGTTTTTAAACACATTTTAGAAGGTCTTTTGGGCTTTGCAATGTTAATTGAAAAATTATCGAAAAGATTCTCTGACAAGCTTAAAGAGGCCAGGTCCATGCTCCTGTTTATACTGCCTGATTGCAGAGCAACTCTGATAAGGTTTCTGTACAGGACTGTCTGACTGGATAACCATCTTGCTAAAGTCAATCAAATTGTGAGTTCTCCCAAAAAAACCCACATCAGCAGAGGAGCTGACAAAGTTATCACAGTATTTGCAGTGTCTGTAGAAATTACTAAAGTGGGAATTAAAATTTCTGGGAGTCTCAGTATTCTGGGAGTCGTGTGATATTCTTGTGAGATGATTTCTGGTGAGAGGCATTATGCTAGGTAGAACAGAAAATACCTTTGAATTGTCCCACAAATAATGAAAGATGGATTCTCTGTCAGAGTTATGGATGAAGTAGGCTGTGGGGGAGCTAGAGGGTTGGATGGCATCAGAGGAAAGGACTGGCAGGCAGAAAATAAAATCATGGCCTGCTGGGAGCACTCACCCTTGCTGGCTGAGAGCAGCTGGGGTTCTGTATGATCTTAGTGATTTAATAACCTGGAACAATCATCAGTGAAGTACAAGAAGATGTAAGTCCTGTCTGCGAGCAGAACATTTTGGCATGAACCAGCAGGTATTTGGTAGTTGGCAGTGGCATCCTGACAGAATGAGACAAGGAACTTCCTTATTCATTGGCATGTTAGTTATCTCCTGAAATAATAACTGCTTCTCCATTAGAAACTCTCCCTCCTTTTTTATGTAGCTCGTAGTCAAGAATACTCTAAACATTTGCTTCCAGAGCAGGGCCAGAGTGGTCTGCTCAGGTCCAGAGTGGTCCAGCAGCACCTGCTGTGAGAATTCCAGGTGTCCTGCTGTGAGGTGGTGAGGAGGAGAAGGGCTGCCTTATGCTGGCTTTTCCAAGGTGTCACTAAAAGCCTGAACAGGAGTTTTATCTTTAATAATGTGGGTAGTTTTCTTGAATTCATAAATACAAAGATGAAAGGTCAATTATGGAATAAATCCCTGCTGATCCAGGAAAAGTAACCTTTAATTTTATTGTTATGTTCCCACTTTCTCAAATTACCTGTCTAAATACCATGAATTTTTGAATCTCATTGTAAATTATTTCTCATGGAGAATCTGAGTAAAAATCTCAATTACAAAGCCAAATACTGCCTCTCCATGATGGAGCAAACCAATCCAAACCATCTGGGAAAAACAAACATTTTGGTGAAGGACACACTGTATTTTCCTGAGTGTGATTATTCTTTTTTAAGTCACTGAGACCAGACTTTAAATGAGCCCAGTATCTGTAACCAGAGACACTTCTTTCCCCCAGAAATAGTTTGGTTTCAGTAATATGAGAAGTAACAAACCTAGCTGGATTTCGATGGAAGTTACAGTATTCAAAATTAGAAAAAGTACTTTCACTTTTAACACAAACTGTTTCTCAATGTTTAGGAGAGAAATATGGAATCTACCAGACCTCTGTCTCAAAAGTCAGTCTTTAGAGAAGAAACACACTTTAAATATGGAAAGAACCCCTGGTCTTGTTCTAATTATTACATAAATTGAAACATTTCCTATCTTGCCTACCCCACTGAGAAGCCAGCAGCAGTTAATAAACTATATGTAGATGTAAATTAGTAATATAATTCAAATTAAATTGTATTTCTTTCATTTTTAATAGGCAATGTCATTTTATGAAATAATCACCTTTTGTAGTTTTATGAATTGGAGACATGTCAGATTGAACATGCTGTAAAGTAATATTGAAACTAAGTATTCTCATTAAATATAGCAGTAGGGAAGTGGCCC